TGGAATGGATCCAATATTTTTCTCAATTCCAATTCCTCGTACAAAAGTAGACGGCAACTTCAGAATAAATTTATTTCATACTACATTTCAATTTCGAGAAAAACGACTTTTGGTAATGCCACTTTATATGCGTATACACATATATCTCGATTTAATTTCTATTTGTTTCTTCTTCTAGTAAAGAATAACTTGTGTCATATATACGTATTTCTATATTATTTCAGTAAGTTTAACAAATTCAAGCGTGTCTTTCGATTCAAAAGTGAAAACGTAACTTATCCTACTACTACATCAGTGTGTATGACCAAGAATCTAAATATGAAGATTTCTGAAGTATTAAAGGTGGAGTTAGGCGAAACAAGGAAAGTACATATATACGTGTCTTGTTCCTGTGCCATTTCGAGTACCAATTTCCGAGCTCTGCACAGTATAAAACTATAGGTATTTGAACTTTTAATATTCAAACGTTTAGTTATCTCAATAGAATATATCTCCGATTCTAAGAAAAAACATCGCAAGTCACAATATCAAAAAATGTTTGCTTTCTCGTTAATTAGATTGCAAACTACACGATTTACGTATTAATCAGAGAAAAATGGAGGAAAATAAATCTAATGTTCTGAAAAAAATTATGCAACTTAACCGAATGTTAATAAGATGAATTACTATTCGAAACTTTAATCTGCGATATATCGATGGTCAAAATATATGATATACGGAGTTTTTCTTTACAACCACGGACATCCTAATAGTAAATAAATTTTTAAGATACGAAGGTGTAGTATTTATGTATATAATAATTAATTATGATTCTGATGATTTCGTAATGTATTTTTTTGGTACAAATATGTGGTTCTTACACGCAGTATATATTTTCCTGTATTCATCGGAATGAATTCTGATTAAGACAATTAATTATGCAGCTAATTGCATATCGCGTGACGACGATAATCAAGCAGAAACGTATAGTTTATGTATCGAAGGAAAATGCGAAATAATTAAAAAACTCGTAGATAATGAAAATGTAACAGAGTTGGCAAAAATATACGACGTCAAGAAATCTGTCATCATAAATAGTAAGAAACAGAATCAGATTCGAAGAAACCCGACAAATGTTAAAGAATATCCGAACTATTTGCAGCATTTAAATGAAATCTTATGGAGTTATTTGCGTAATTTAGTAAATAAAACTATATGGAATCCTTGAATATCGCAACAAACTGTTAATTATATTTCTATTTGAATAAATAACTAATATAAAGAATTGATTACTCTATCATCTCATAAACAAAGAAAAGAAAGTGATAATTCTATTCAAAATTTCCTTATTGCACTGTAGTATTCTTATTAGTTCAGATACTGGATATAATACCGTATTTACATTTAAAAAATAATACGTTTGAGAAGACAACAAAGTACACAAAGTCGATATAATCAGAGAAAAAGAATTTCTGTTTAACTTTAAAAGCAATTTTTGCTGCACTTTGAAAGAAACTTTTTACCTGGACCTGTCAAGAATTTTTTACAAGCTTTATCAGCTTTTGTACTTCAAAGATGTACAGGACTGTTAGATCTAATCTACCCGGTAAGCTGCAAGAGTGTATCTGACCTCTATCAAAAGAAAATTGAAAGGAAGCACTCCACTGACCTAACGATACAACAGTAATCATAACAATTGCAAGATCGCATCTCTTTAAGAACAGTCATTCGAATGAGATAATCGGTACTTAGAATAGTGACTTTTCTAAAATTTATGATACGAACGTGAACATCTGCTATTTTAAACTATTTAAAGCGAATAAAACTTGGACTAAAAATCGCGTATGCAATTAAGGAGTTCCTTGAAAGAAGAAGTTCATTTCTCAAAATAGGCTTTTCTTCTAATTATTGCATTTTTATAGTCTGTTCCAGCAGTTCTCAATTTGCGATACGTTAAACATTCGCAAGTGATAAGTGGGCAGAAATTAAGTAAAATTTTAAAATTATGCGCAATGAAGTATACCATACTATGTACAAAGTGATACGTGATTACATCACATACTGATCGATATTCGAGGAAAAAAGGTTGAGAATCGCTGGTATATTCCTGCGATTACGGAAAAAGTGAGATCGCGAGAAAATAGATACCATTACACCATTCAACTTTTACCTTTGCGAGTTTTTTCTATCTATTACCAAATTCGAGATAATTGCGTGGTTCACTCTGTAGGGTAAGTCTATAATATAGAATATATCTATTCCGCGGGACACCCCGTATATTAACCCCTTGGCTACTGTGGGCGCCTATAGGCGCTTAGAAATTTTGCGTTTGTGATTCAGAGGGCGCCTATGAGCGGTTAGAAATTTTGTGTTTGTGATTCAGAGGGCGCCTATAAGCGGTTAGAAATTTTGCGTTTGTGACACGGAGGGCGCCTATGAGCGCTTAGAAATTTTGTGTTTGTGATACGGAGAGCGCCTATAGGCGTTTAGAAATTTTGCGTTTGTGACACGGAGGACGCCTATAGGCGCTTAGAAATTTTGCGTTTGTGACACATAGAGCGTCTATAGGCGCTTAGAAATTTTGCGTTTGTGATACATTGGGCGTCTATACCCGTTTAGAAATTTTGCGTTTGTGACACGGAGGGCGCCTATAGGCGCTCGGCGTAGTTTAGCTTTCTGACACGGAGGGCGCTCGTTTTCACAAAAATGGCGCATATCGTAACTCAATTCCTGCCGTATGGTACGGCCGTTGCGTATCAAAATCTGCCATAGTCAAGGGGTTAAGGGTAAAGTTTACCCAATATTGATTCTACAATTTTTATCGATATCACAGTTTTACAAACAAAAAAAACTTTTAAATATCTCGAAACACGATTTTGCAGACAGGCCCTTTTTCCAAAGAACTCTTCAATCGCACTTGGTGTCCTTTATTTTTCATAATCGATTACTCGTTTCTTCTACGTAGGCTCCGTTCTTTTTATTCGTTCATTCATTTACGACATGCGAAAATAGTTTTACACGTATAATTAACGTTTCTTAGTAACGTATTATCAATTTTTAATATTTACTTTTCTTATCAACGAAAAGTACTTATTCTTATTACTTAAACTCGCAAAGCTAAGTTAGAAAAGCTCAAATTAAGTTAAAAGCTTGGAAATTTATTGGCTGTTTAAATCCTTTACCTTTTCAGCTTATTTGCAATAGACGTATCGTAGCCTTCTTCCTTGCGTTAAAGGATTGACACCCGAATAGATAACAGTTGGCACTTGGAGTAATGGATTTCAATTACCGATGCTCGATACACGGATACATGGGTCTACTTGGATAGCTATGTAAATTCAGGACAGATGACCTACAACGCGTGGATCAAGGGTAACACGAGATGTCTCCGAATTTTTAGGATTTCTTTGATTGAGTAGGGTTCTCCTATCACTGACTGCAGACATTCGATAAGATATTCGGTTGTGGCAACTGAATTTTATATGTAGCTAAAGGCACGTTTAGATCGGATTGGTCATCCATCAATTGTAAATCAGTTATAATTTAAATTTTGAACAGGAAACTCCGTCATTTCTTTCAAAGACTATTTCTAACTTGAAATTTTACACTTTTAGTATGCATATAAATCATTAGTTCGGCATAAAGTTGTAAGAACGTTGCTATTCTTTAGATCCCCTTAGTGAAGCAAATTTGGTTAATTCTTTGAGGAAGAAAAATATTTTCAGTTCGCGAATCGGTTAATGTAAATCGAAAGAAAATGGCGCGTACAATGTATAATACCTAAGTCATAATAAATAACAAACTGAAAGCAATTTTTTAAATAAAAAGATTGCTTAAATATAATTATGATATTTTACGGTATACGTGATTTGTTATTATGAATTGTGTATGTGACGACGGATGTAATACCTAATATTTGTAATACCTAAGTCATAATAAATAACAAACTGAGAGAAATTTTTTAAATAAAAAGATTGCTTAAATATAATTATAATATTTTACGTTGTACGTGATTTGTTATTATGAATTGTGTATGTGTGTGTGTTTCCCGCCATAAGTGACGACGGAAGCATGATGTCACGAGTCGAATGTTTCGAAGGAGCTGGAATGTTTGGCAAGTTTCTGCGATTTCGATGAAACGAAAACTTGTCGTTCTTTTTCCTCTTTCTTTTCTTTTTCCTTTTTCTTTTTCTTTGAAATGTCGTATGAGAAAATAGTTGTAAAACTAGCTATTTCTGTTCAAACACGCTATAGTACAAAAGAAGTACAATTTACTGTTCTTTTTGTCATAAAATCTATTAAATAAAAACATATACACGACATCGAAATATGGCGATGAAAGCAGTAAAATTATTCCTTTTCACAATATATGCGACATTCGACTTAATTAATAAAAGTATCGTGCCGTTTATTTTGCAGCACTTGTCGACACTTATCTGAAGGTTGATATTGGAATTTTTGCCCATAAAATTTCTTTAACACAAATGTTATATTTCGTCATAATTTATTATAATAAGCCTTTATGTTGGCTAACGGTAATTTAACATAGTTTGATATAAAGAATTTTTTATTCTACCTAACTTTTTAAATGGAAGGTTTCATTTGGTTTTAAACAAAAAATTCCTTTGTTAAACTTACAAATTTTTTTTTGAATTTCTAAAACTTTCTCTGATTTTGAATTTACAACAACGAAAATTAATTCTTTGGTGTGAATCTACTTAAATATATATCTACATACATACATACCAACGTGCTAAAATATATGTTTTTACTTGCTGTATAATTAAAATACTTTAATTCTTAGTTAAACAAATTTAACAAATATAAATACATATCGTTTTCCTCGAAAAGTAAAATTTTGATTTATTTCTTCACGATAAATTAATCGTGATCATATTCTCGTTTGTAATTTTGTCGCACTGTGTATACATAATACCTTTGTCTAAATTCGTCTAAATTCTTTAAAAATATTCAACACTGTCGGTAAACGAAAAATTGTAGAGATAAGGTGGATAACTCACCATTTCAACGCTGCCATAATATCGTCTGGAGAGAACCCCTCGCCTGGAAATGGCGTCTGTGGTAGACCTGAAACATCGTAACGTTCAAGACTCGACCGACAAACAGCTTCTTAAATTTTATGCCGCAATTCGTATTAACAAAGACGGCCACGACAAAAAACGCGGAAATACAGTCTTTCTGCCGTGCTTTCTCCGATATTTCTTGTTTTTTTACTACCGAGATATCTGGGTTAATGAGGGCAGACCGCAAAAGAAAGGACCTAGATTGCATCAATTAACATCTTGCTTAACCAAATTCTTTGCTTATGGGCAGCGCTTGGATGCAATTATTTTTGGCTAAAATTATTGAAACTTTTGTAGTATACGATCTCACAGCGCCTATTAAAATTTGGAATAATAACGAATGATTTGTTCAGATATCGATTGTTTTTTATTGATAAGCGAGGTGTCGAGTGTTCAATTATACAGAATATTCCGTTGAATGCGACACTACCGTAATTTTTCAATAGAAATTAAAATATTCCTCCTGTATGAAGTTTGTATATATATAACATAAACATGATTTACAAATACACGTCTATACTTCGCGAGATATTAAATTGGGACATGCATATTAAAACGAGTAAACAAACCACGTATAAACACGTGTTCCACATATTTCAGTTTTCGTTTTATTAATTAAAGAATGATTATGGAAAATGTTCGATGTGTCTTTGTGTTTGAACAAATTTTTTATACGGTGATTAAAGTGATTAAAGTATACCGTGTAAAAGTTTTCGTTAAACTAAAGTAAACAATATAAAATCAATTTAAAATACAGGCCTGCATTTGATAACAACCTTTTTTACGGTTTGTCGGTTTCCTGGATGTGAAGATAAAAATAAGTAAAACGCGTTAAGAAAATTATGCAAATAGAAATTAAACGTGTTAAAAAATCGTGTAATTGAATAAAATGTGTTAAAAAAATCAGGCAGAAAAGTACCATGTGAAAAATGTCTCTGCTATCTTCGAATATATGGAGTTTGATTGAAACTTTGTCTTATATTATTATATTCGTGAATTATATATTATTTTTATTATTACAAATTATGTACAAAATAAAACTATTTTATGTATGTATACTCCATATATCCTTCGCGACATAAACATACAGATTATATAGGTCCAAATGAACTCGGGGAAGATTAAGATCAGTCATGTCGTCAAAATATGGACAATGTCATTACACAGTTCTATTGCGTATACATGTATATATACATTTTGAATATTTTCTTTCACATTAAAATTGCAACCAGTAGTTTTATATAATTTTAATTTAAATAAAAGATATAATTTGCACGGATGAGGGCAATTAAAGAGATACAATGAAGGTGAATAAATATACATATATAGTTACTAGACTGCAAATTTTCATACGAATACATTTCTTTCATACTTTATATGTTTTGCATATTTTACATACGTGTAATTTCAAAGGCTAACCGTACCGTCTATTCATCTCTTCTTGAACCTCTGTTTAAATTCTTACGACGGACTTGGAAATTTATGGTCCTTGCCCAAACACCGAGATCCTCTAGGCCTACACAATGCCCAGGATAAGGCCACGTATTTCTCTTAAAGAGAAAACAATTTTCTCAACAGTCTCTACCTCCGATGATCCTTTCTGCACAAATTCCTTAGCCTAGAAGCATCTAAATTCCACCAGCTGCCACCAACGTTCCACCAATAGGACCAAAATCTTATTCCATAGAAATTGAATCCGAACTGTCAACTCCTTGAGCGGTTACCTAGTACTTACACACACATATGTCACGACCAAAGTCAATTCACAGCTGGAGTGACGTATATGTACGGATTATCAAACTTGGATATTTCAATATTTATGCCATGTATCTCGATTTGTATACCGTATTAGACTTGGAGCTGATTCATCGTGTTAATCGAGTTTCAGTTTTCGCGTATAAATCTATTGTATGTACACATATTCCATGGTAAATCCAATCTTCGGTATAATATTCTAGCGGTTACGTGTTAATAGTAATTTAGACAATTAATGCTAACGTGAAATATATATTTAATAATAAATCGTAATTCTCAAGGGAGAAAAGATATATACTATGCATTGAACAATATTACTGGTTCCTTCGGTATAACGTAAGCCCCGAGAATAAAGTCACGATATGTAAAGCCATATTGAAACCCATATGGACGTAAGGGATTCAACTATAGAGCACAGTCAGTAACTCTAATATTGAAATCCTACAGCGTTTTCAGTCAAAGACCCTACGACTGATAGCCAATGCTCTTTGGTACGTTATTAAGGAAACAATCGATAAGAATCTACAACGAAACAATTTATAAGATCTGAACATGATCTCAGTAAAAAAGAAATTTCTAAATTTAGCAGCTGCTATTCCACTCGTTTAATTAAGACAGTACGAAGTAAGACTGTAGGCTTAAATGGCAACATTTTCTAGAATTGTATTATAGATCGCAATTTGGTAATGATTAGATAGATTTTTAAATATATATGTGTTGATATAATAAAAGAGCAATGTCTGTAAGAAAGGGATGCCTGGAACAAGTATGCATGGAATGGTAATATCTAATTAATTCAGGTTATTGTGATAAATGAGTATGCGTGTAATGATTAAGGTGTTGTGTGAATTGTGTATGTAATGTAATGTATGAAAGAAGGAAGAACAAAACGAGAGTGATTTGGCATAGGTCAGTTGCAATTGAGTTTTAACAGTGAGAAGAGGTGTGAGCATGTGATTGTGATGAATTAATTATATTTAAACTTAATATCTGTGTTTGATAATCTTTGTAATTAAATGAAAAATTGTTCTTATTGTTATTAAAATTTCATCCACCACTAACACGCAATACGTGTAATATATTTGCGTATAGCTGTTTAAAATTAAAATAAAAGAACAGCACACTGAACAGAAGTAAGAAGATTATCCTTCGATCACACACATTCAACACTGTAACCACGACGATCTAATCAACGTTCCTTGTAAGACAGGAAGAATATAAAATTAGCTCGAAATATATTACTGGACTATGCTAATCACGTCTATTTTTATTTCAAGATCTACGGCGAGGCTTTGCGACCCCAAGAAAGGCCAATCAAATTACGGTTTGCGGTCGTGATAACATAAAAGGCAGATAACTGAATATTAAGTATTTTTATATATTTTTTACAATTTTCACATACTTTTCTTTTCTCACTTTGCGGTAATTTGTGGGTTCTGAATTACGATTCACAATACGCTTATGTTACAAGTTATAATTACCAAGGATTAGTTTATAATAAACGTATTTAGTAATTGATTTTGAAAAAATTTTGAAAGAAATGTTATCAATAATTCGAATTCACGGTTAGTATCTTAACACTAGGTTTGCGGATAGTATCTGTATACCTATTTCTAAGGACATCTGTCTAATTGACAGGTAAAGGAAACCACGTGCCTTTTACTTTAACGATTAGTTTAATTTAAAAACAATTATATATTATATTATTAGTCTTAATATAAGTTAACTAAATCTGTTACTATCGTCTAATTGGAGTAATCCTTCGGTCAAATTGACAGGTTCCGTAAATCTAGTGTTAAGAGATGTAAAGAGTGATATTATAAGTATAGGAAAATGTAATTATATTGAGATACGCTTATGAACAAAAATTAAGAAACGAACATATGATTTGTGAATTTTTGTATATTTCTTGTATTAGGATTATGGATAAAAAGAAATAACTATCTGTATTTTATAATTATCTTTATTCTATTCTAAGGAAGGTATTACCTCTTCGGCGCATAGTTTAAAGATATATCTATTTTTTCTAAGAGACTGATTTTTGTATATACGTTAAGACATATCCTATTTTCAACACCTTGTTTTCTAAGATGCAGGGATTGAAATTAAAAATAGGCTCCATATAAGAAGGAACGAGGAAAACTTATTGTTCATCGATATATAAGTTATCTTTCGTTCTATTTTCAATTTTAATTTATTTATATCGAAAGGTTAAGAATATACAAAAATTCAAATGCAAATGATAGCTTCGTTTCCCAATTTTGGTCTATAAATGTATTAATTTGATTTTATAGGTTTCGAAGTTAGAATTGTTTATAATTTTAATGAGAAAGCTAGAAATTCTATGCAAGTTTTATACAACGAATAGATAACTGAAGAAGAAAATACAAATTTTATTTTCAAAGGAGGTGATAAACACGATTAATACGCGAGTACTGCTGCATGTATATGGAAGAAATAAACACTATCATATTAACCAGACAGAAGTAAAGTATCGAAGAAGAGTCAATTTTATCATGATTTATGCCGAAAAATGGTAGCCATAAAAATGCCTCGGTGATACCTAGACAATATAATGTGGAAAAATTTCTGAAAAAATACACACTTGGGACTTCTTTTCACACGGTGAATGGATACCGTATAGGAGAAAATCACGCAAAAAAGAAAGAACAGTAAAGTTTGTTTTAAAAATCAAGCTTGTTTTGAAAATCACAAACTATATGAAAAGTAATATCAAACATATATCAAGTATATTTACAAGAATATTATATTTAATAAATATGATACGTATATGTGTATGTATATATTATTAACTAAATATAATGTGTATAATAAAAGCAGTAAAATAAAGGAAAAATGTATAAAAATTTAATAAACTAAAGCGAAATGCAAATATAAGGGAAATAAGATTTTGTTGATAAGTTAACAAAATTAAAGTAAAATTTAATAAAATTTACAACGAAATATCTTTACCGACATTATTCGTTAAGTTTAAAATTCGTTTCCTTACTGCAAAAAGAAAAAAAAATACTTTCTGTGTTTTATGCTAACTTTTTGTAAGAAACCGTACAATTTCTAAAGTCCATTTGGAATTTTGTAACACGTTCAACATTGGAATTATCATATATTCGATGAGATGATGTTCCCATTTGTGTTACTGTAAATAAATAAATTTTATAAATTAATAATAAATAAATTAACAATATTTTTTATTAACAATAAATAAATTTTGTTTCTTAAGAAAAGTTA